CATGGCCAGCCGTATGGATGGTGGGTTACTTACCATTCCAGCGTTTGTCGCGCAATCGAATGAAATTTCACTTGCAGCTAGGGAACGACTGGCCCAATCAGGTAGGTCATCTGTGGACCCCTCGTTTCTACAACAAGGCTGACATACCATAGGGCGAGATCGATATCCTTGAAGGCGTAAACAGTGTGTCGCCAAACATTGCCTCCCTGCATACGGGCTCCAGTGCGAAATCCAGCTTTCATTCTCTTTTGTTGTTTAACTCTTCTGTCAGACTGCAACATGCCTCCGGCGCGAAATATGACTGGGTTTGTACCACCGATGTTTACTCTCTTTCCTGCTCACGGCTTTCTAGTCAATCTGTGGGTCAGGATTGTGCAGCATACGAGACAGGAAATGATGGTTGTGGCGTCCAATTTGTCGACCATGCCAGTTTTGGGCATTTATTCAACAACGCTCAGGGCGGATGGTACGGTTTATTTTTTCTCGGCCATAAGGGTGCTGACTCCCACCATAGGTATGCTGTTGAGCGCACCACTAGCGACATTAAAGTATATTTTTGGTCAAGGAATGACAGTTCTGTCCCTCATCAGGTTGGGTGGTCCTATGACATCATTGAACCCGATACATGGGTACGGAAATGGTTACCTTGCACCTATCGTGTCGGGATTCCTGACAACGCTTTTGTAGGGTCAGCCTGCTGCTGCTTGGTCGAATGAAAAGTGCGACTTTGCAGACCATTTCGGTCCCCACAGCATTATGGTCAACATCGCATTTTGTATGTCTGTGTCCTCGACTATATGGGCAATCGGCACTAACGTTGGCGTACTTTTCAGGCGGTGACTGGGCCGGTGCTGTATATTCACAATCTGGTTGCCCTGACACATGTGAAAGTCAGTATGGACATGTTATCAGATTCTGCCGGTGTTCACCCCTCCCTTGTAGACTTTGTAGACACAAACCCGGGCAGCTTTTATGATGCGTACTTTGACTTTTCGGGTATTAGGATATACACGTAGGGGACTGGGATGTGAATGACTTTCAAGATTGCCTGCATGGAAGGTGAAATATGGCAGATTTGATACGCTGACCTTCTTGTTCTGTCAAAGTCTAGAATGGTCATTGCGAATGATGGTACGCAAAAGGGTGGTTTGTTTCGTTGGCGATATATGATAGATGTCGATAATTACAGGTCAGGTGACCTCGTGTTATATTACATCCAGGATTGCATTGAACGTGAACGTTGAACGAGACGCGTCACGACCGATGTCCCGCAAAAAGGCGATCCTCTCCAACGAGACAATTCCACAAAACCCTACGAACAACGGCGAGCGTCCCCGACGACCGGCCAGAGAACGCCTCCAAAACTCCGTCCTGGAAGAGCTTTGGTCAATCTGGCAAGCCGACCCACGCGTACCATCGCTCAAATCCAGGCGATCATGGGCGATCTCCCGCAACGCAAGCCCTCGCCTAGTTGACGGTTGGTTCCTCCGCAGAAGGACATGTGCAAAAAAGGCAGGGCAACCTATATCAGCCGCATCATATAACCTCCCACTGGACCCGCCAATTGCCCCGAAACGAGAACAGTCTACGACCCCTCTCGAACTCGAAGCCGCTCCCGACTTGCCCTCTGATGACACGCTAGTCTACCCTCCTGATAATGACGACTTGAACGACATAGAAGCTTCTTCCGACACCGTGTTTGAAGACGTGGTCGAGGGGCCAAAAAGAGCACAAACTCCTACATACAAGGAGGGCCTTCAGCACCCTCGTCCTTCCGAGCCGAAGTCGAGGTTTGATGCAACTCTCTTCCCACTCGTCATTGACTTTCTTTGGTATTAGCTCTCCTGATCTTGATGCAGCAAAGGATTGCTGTGATGAGAATGTCTCGTTTGCAAATCCCTCTTTCCTCATCTGCAACCAAGGCCAAGGAAAGCAATCAAACTTTACGTGTGTACTCTGTTCAACGCAGTCTGGCGAAGGTACGCGAGTCTCTCTCCAACCGAATCTGCATATATGCACACTAATACTCAGAGGCGCCCTAGACGACAAGGCCCTGTCCAACTCCGACGATTCCAGAGGGAACCCTTTTGTCCTACCGCGTCTCGACTTCCTTCCTGACACGCTTTCCGAGCTTTCTGCCATCCCATTCTTATTTCGCACACCACGCACCGTACTTCCGGACAATCCTGTGAACCATCCAAGTTTGCATGACTGGGCGATCGTCGAGGACGAGCTAGGGCGCCTTGTAAATGATGGGAAACTCGAACTCTCTTTTCTTGACGTTCCACACCTCACTTCCGTGGAACTGTTTGATTCACCTTGATGTCGCACTTGTTTTTTTTTTTTTTCTGAATCCCATGTTGTTGTGTTGGTTCTGTCATCCTCCACTGATCCGTCTGAAATGTGTGCGTGTGATGGTTGTTCCGTTCAATGGTATACCGTCGACATTGCTTCTGTTCCCAACTCCGTGGGGGATGGACAACAGGTATGTGCGATTTGCTTGTTCTGGTACATCAACGAGGTCAGTGTTCATATTGGTGACTTTCCGGATACGGGCTTATCCTATCAGTTTTCTGTCGATAACTCCGTGTCATGCAAAGAGAGAATCCACTTACAATCATGACGTCCGAATCGTTCCTTAGGCGGTCAAATTTAGCCTTGGACAACACTGCATTCCCATAACCTTATCGTCCGTTTGTCCACCACCACAATCACACAATGGCTCAGCGTGCTACGACGAACCTCGGAGGGACGGCATCTCAAATCGTTGTCGGTAAAGTCGCCGTGAGCACCTGTCCACAGATCCAGTTTCTAAATTGATCCCGTTTCTTGCTGACAGCATGGCCTCATGTCCATGACGTGCGTAGTATACAGTTCATATTAACCCAGCGCTTGCTAAGGAGGCTCTCCAGCTGGAAACCAGATCCTGTCCCAGACGAGCAATGTTTTGAGGCCATCAAGGCAGGTATCGACGCGTTGCCCTCTGGCGCCAAGATGTTCCATAGGACATTCCTGTCCATCAAGGTGGGGAGGAAATAACTGAAACACCTCATGCTGACGATGATTCCGCGCCGGCCCACCTGAACCAGATGGCTCGTAAGTGTATTGCAATCCCATCGATGCAGTGTCCCCCATTAATCCTTGTCTGTCTAGGCCAGAGAACACTTTGCGAAGCGTGAACGCAGTCAACGAGAAATTGAGAGGAACGAAGCGCCTCGACTTATTCCAGTGCGCCCGTGTGGATCCCAACCTGCCCGTGGAGTTGGACCACATCGGGATGTCTGAATGCAGTGCAGAGACCCTCCGTCGAGGACACAAGGTCGGTCACGGTTTCGGTTTCGACCGTCGCGCTGGCAACCAAACCTTTTTTCTAGGTTCATCCGATCAGCGTTGTAGAAATCGAAATTAGTCCATTCTCATACGAGCCAGAAACACGAGCAGGTAGGCTAGACGTGGCTGAGTGCTGAACGTGCTGATCACTGCGGTTGCCGCTTACTCGTGGGTCACCTTGTCGTCTGTGCGAATACTCCTGACGTGTCCTGCAGACCCCTTGGAAGGGGTTTCCTCACAGGACAGATTAAGAAGCTTGAAGATTTACCTGGTGCGCAGCATAGTAAACCCCACCGGCAGGAATCAAAACTAAACGACTGAACGCGACGTAGCGGACGATAATCGCCGCCAATTTCCTCGGTTCCAGGAAGACGTAAGTTTCACATTACATGTAGCATTGTCAGTTTCGACCTCTCTTCAGAACCTTGAGCACAACCTCGCCATAGTCGATGTCCTGACTGAGATTGCCAAGAGGAAGAATATCACGACAACGCAGCTTTGTATCGGTTGGGTCAGCTCACTTGGTCCGCACGTTATTCCTCTTCCCGGATCATCGTACGGCAGTGCTCCATCAGAATATGACCCACCAAACTGATTGTTGTTGTCAGACGTGCCGATCGTACGCTCGAGAATTGTTCGGGAGGCGATGTCACGTTCACGGAGACGGAGTTGCAGGAGATCCACCAGGTGATTGAGAAGTCTGGTGTCAAGGGAGCCAGAAACCCTTCTGTTGCAGTCCTTTGGGCCAGAGGGCTCATTCAGGCATCAAGTAAACGAGTGCTTTGCCTGTACAGTAATGCGAACCGGATTTGACGGCGTGAAACTCGTGGACGTGTCAGGTCGATCAGTCTGTTGTTGCACCGCCAACGTTGGTGGGTAGAATTGGGTACAGACAATCCCAATCTTGAATTCGAGATAGCATGTGATGTCAAAGTACCACCGTTGCGACCAAGTACCCTGTCGGATGTTAGATGCTATGTACATGAACACCTGTTGGCGACAGGGTGGACGAACAAGGCTCCCCGTACACCCTCGCCGAAACCATCTGATGTTTCGCCAGCTTCGATGAGATGCTCCAAAAGGGCAACACCAAGGAGTGACTCTGAATTGCAGCCTCCTTTGCTGCGCCAACCGAGCCGAGTAACGTCAGGTTCAACCAAGACCCACAGCTGTCGCACCACTCACCTGCGATGTCAACGGATGCGTTTTCGGGATTGCAAGTTCTCATCATCACTTTCTCCTCGCCATCTGCATAGTTAAGTTGTCGATGTACGTCTGGAGTGTGGCGTTCTCGGACGTGAGCTTCTCGACGTCGGTCTGCACGCTATGCACGCGCGTCACGAGGGCTAGCGGGGACCGAAACGACGGGTTCACATTGCACGGAACACAAAACTGCTGAAGGCGTAACCCACCTCTGAGATCGCTCTGTGCGGCGACGATGTCTCTACAAACGGAGTCAGCGTGCGCGTCTGTACAAGTAGAAACGGAGGTGCCTACTTGAGTACGTGCTCTTTCCGAATCGCATCTTTGACTATGTCACCCGATTCTGTCTTGGAGATTGCCCAGGCGCTACTCTCTTCGAAACTGTCAAGTGCCATTGACGGGAGTTGCAAAATTGATGCGTTGATGTTTGGTTAGATCGGAGGCGGAAAAGAAGAGCCACTAAAAAACTCTCTGGCGGGGAGTCGAACCCCGCTCTCCCGCGGTCTAGTACTGTGGTACGTGACAGGCGGGTGTACTATCCGATATACTACCAGAGACATTGTGTACAGGGTGCTTTTTGATATACATACGGTTAAGCAGGTGTACACTTTACTCTATTGCTACATAGCAACCGAATCAAGATCTACTTGGAATATACTTTCTAGCCCAGTCGGAGGTGGCCACGTTGGCATTTAACAAGGGATCCAGCGGCTCAAGTTTCCAGCTAAGTTCGGCGGAATTCGACGGAGGATACATAGCAACCGCAGCCAATGCCAGGTAGGTGTGATATGGATCTTGAAACACGTATCAGCTGTACTTCGAATAGAACATTATAAAAGTTTTCTGACCGGGATGCTCTTTTGGCGCCTTCGAAATCCCACCGTATTTGAATTGACAAGATGCTATAAATTTGCAAAGCGACAATTCACATACAAACTCCCGCGCTCCAAGAATCTAACAATGTTTCAAGGGACAAAAGCAGCGATGAGAGTTTTTGAGCCTTACCAATAGCGAAGCACCACACCAAAAACAATAACAAGCATCCGCTTCCTTGTTCGTCCGTCCACAATAACCGCCAGGCGATACTTGATTTTGAGTCAGCCATCGTATCGTCTGTTTCCTCTCGCGGTCGGTGAGGCAGGAGCCTTTGCCAGCAAGGAAGATCGATGCTAATGCGCAATATGTAGGACCGCCTGAAGTCATTAGAAGCATACATAGGGGTTGCAACAGAATATACCTGCAGCCTCGGCGAAAGGCACCTGACCGTACCCGCCTTCGTAAGACTAGAACGACCATTAGTCAAAGTACACGCGTGACATGAGTGGACACTTACTCTGCAGGCCGCGATGAATCTCAAGGCAGACTCGAGCCGAACACCTGACCAATCATCCAGCATGCTACTGATCACAAAAGCACAGTAGGTAGTTCGTACGTCGGCATCTCCCCCGTAAGGCTCAGACGAAAAACTGGAATTACCAACCTTGGTCACTACTGTCCACACAGAAGCTTGTCAACAGATGCTCACCTCCCGTCTTCATTCTGGCAAGCTCGCAGGACCTTGATGATCCCCGGACGATCTAGCTGGGAAAAGTCATCGCGAAGTATTGCGAGTGACAACAACGCGGTGTATGTCAAAATGATATGGGGTGAATTCTCAGAGCTCTCGGAATAGTTGGTCTGGTTGACTTGTCAGAAGTTATTCGTTCGGAATAACGAAAAAGCCAGTCACGTCCTCTCCACTCGTCGACATGTAATTCCCTGGTCGGAAACCAGTGCCACATGGCCCCTCTGGGGACGGATGATGTTATCAATTTCTCAAGGCTAGTGGATAGAGTTCCTCACTGATTTGCTGTTCCCATATCCACTGCCGCCAACCCTCCTTATTTTGTGCTTTCGTGCTTTCGTTTGCGAACTGGCCCGTCAAGTCCAACGACCCCAGACAATAGAAAGCCAGGGCCATTCTATCGCATGATTATTATGGGTGGTCCTGGGATCAACAACGAGCATCATACTTGGACGGATCAATGTCGACCTGAGAGCTTGGCAATCCGAGCAGACATCTTTCACAATGAGTTGCGTGTGCGCCTGTGGCTAGCGGAGACAAGGAGTCCATTGCGATGTGGTACTGATCCTGAAGACCTGGTCGCCGCCGAGTCTGGGGACTCGCGGACTTTATACATATTTGAAGTCTCGCCGCCACATTTTCTTTCCTACATACCTCGAAGTCCCTTCCTCAGTACAATCATGGACGATATGCTTTCTCACTGCTCGTGCAATATATTGATAGGGATCCATGTCGCTCTAAATTTACCAACTTTTTCCGGAAGTGCTCACCGACACGCAGGGTTCTACGAAGGGATCCCATGCCAACAGCGATGAGAACAGAAACGATATAAATATGTCGGCCTAGCATCATTTATATAGACGCTGTTCGCACGGGCTCAGCCTGTTGCCAACCTTCTCGAGAGAAATGGGTATCTACCTATCCTTGTGGACCCAGTCCATTCCTCCAAAGTCGAGGTTCGACGTCAGTGACATTCCGGATCTGACCGGCAAGGTCATAGTCGTGACGGGGGCCAACACTGGTATAGGAAAAGAAACCGCCAAGGTGAGAGCTTTCTGAATCTGCATTGCGGGGAGATGACTCTGTAAATTTCCGGATAGGCTCTACTCCAGCACAATGCAAAAGTGTACATTGCTGCCAGAGATCAAGCCAAGAGCGAGAATGCAATACACGAGCTCAAGACTAGCACTGGAAATGAGGCGGTCTTTCTCAAACTCGACCTTGGAAACCTTGAATCCGTGAAAGCAGCGGCAGAGGAGTTCTTGAGGTACAACTTCTCTGCTCATGAAGGTGTCTTCCATGATAACTTTCTGACAGCAAGGAGACTCGGTTGGATGTTCTCATTAACAACGCGTCAGTGTAATCAGCTGGTTACTAAGTTTTGCCCCCTACTTATCGGATACCTCTTCATTAGCGGTGTCATGATCCCCCCTGTTTCCCACTTGACATCAGATGGTTATGACCTCCAATTTGGTACCAATGTCCTTGGTGATATATTGTCTTTTTGTTCTAAGCTGTTTGTACTGAGGAGCGTGAACAGGACATCACTACTTCACCAAGCTTCTATTGCCGCTGTTGATCTCAACTACCAAGGCATCGTCAGATGGAAAGGCTCGGATAGTCACGGTGTCGTCTTCAGCACATGTGTTTGGGTCTCTGCAGTTTGAAACATTCAAAGACACGACTGCCCGTAAGAAAGTTTCATCTTCCAAACTGTACTGTCAGAGCAAGTTTGTGAGTAAGAAGCATGAGCTCTGCTTTTAAGGCTTCTAACAGGAGATAATATTGGAAGGGGAACGTCGTGCTCGCGTCAGAGCTCGACAGGAGGTACAGAACTGAAGGCATTGTCTCTATCTCCTTGAACCCCGGGAATATATACTCTGATCTACAGAGACACATGGGGTCAATCTCTCGCCGTATTCTGGTAGGAATGCTGTCGTGATGTAAAGATGGACTAATCCATTCTCGAAACCACAGAATTTAGGGTTGTACGATACCCCCTTCGGGGCTCTTACGCAATTGTACGCGGGTACCTCCCCTGCCGCCGCAGACCTTGGAGGAAAGGTGGGACTTGATGACACCTGCACAGTTCGTGATATTAATGGGTACCATTAGTATCTTGTTCCTTGGGCCCGCGTTGGACCATCTCGTAAGGACGCGCATGATCCCAAACTTGGACAGGCATTATGGGAATGGTGCGAAGAGCAAATCAAGGGTGTCTGAAGTGCTATGACGTTTATATGACGACCAATCCATACAATTCTAACGTTTCCGATGTCACTGTACGCAGTGCTGTCGGTACGCTTCGCCTGATCAGATATTCTGTAGGGCATGGATGGGAGCAATGATCGCTGGTCTGCACGAGCGATCTTTTGTACGTCAATGGATGGAAAGCAGCTGGGATTGGAGATAGTTCAATCACGTTCGAGTCCGATGCGTTATCGCCACGGTGGTATCGCCGGGATCTCTTGCACGGAAAAGTTCCAGATGCACCCAGGCCTCATGACTTGTGAAATTTGTTACTACGAGCCTGTTGGTGGGGGCTTGCACCTCGGTCCATTTCACTCTACAGATAAGTATCTATTGCATTAGCTGAGGATTGTAGTGATCTGTACGCCAGCAGTTGCTAATGCGCCGACAACTTGATACTAAGTTGCTGCGGTTGCACCACGTACTACCAACTTTGCTTCCGTCGCACATTTCATTTGTCTCAGCTTTCCACAGGGTACATCTTCACTTTGTACAAATCCAAGAACTACAACATGCCACTCGGAATCAAATTTCATCACACAAGACAAATTCCGGACCCAATCACTACCCAACCAATGTTCAAGCTCAAGCCTCCTCTCCCAGTGCCTCTCTTTGGAAACCAGGATATCCTTTTGCGATCTCGTCCGTGATTTCTTGTCTATACGTTGGGAGGCCACCGGCATAGTTATATGCACCGACATTCTTTCCAGGTATGTTGGCACCTATCCAGAAGCTGTCGACCTTGGGGATCAACGTGGCGTTGGACAGTTCTTCGACGTGTTGCCCATAAGTCTTGGTGGCATGCATTGTCGGACTGAACTTGGTAATATTGTTCTGACGAAGGTAATCGATTGTACTGGTGACCCAAGCGCCCTGAACTTCTGCACACGTAGGGCCATTACACAAGGCCGTCGGACCTTGCGGGCCGTACACGATATACAGGTTGGGGAAATTATCGACCGTCATGCCTAGACTAAGCGTCCATTCAGGTTCGTAACACATAGTCTATAAAACTGCAAAAATTACTTACTATGTTTTCAAGCGGTCTTTCCAATGATCTTGAATCGATTCTCCATCCAAACCACGGAGGTCAATATCCATGATACGACCAGTGTGGGAGTCCCACCCTAGATCGATACTAGTTCCACGAGTCCTGGTCCGTGAGCACGCAGACTCACCTGTGGCGAAAATAAGTACGTCAACCTCGTACTCCTGCGCGGACGTCTTGAATGCCTTTCGGAGTCACCTCCACGATAGGCGTTTCTCTGAGATTCACAATGTCGATATTGTCCTGGTTGAAGACATCGTAGTATGTCTGTTCAAGGCTAGGATTCTTACACCCGAATGGATGAGGAGGAACCGATGGGGCCAAAAGCTCTTGTTTCCGTGGATCCTTGACACGCTCACTGACCTTCTTCTGCCAGAACGCGTATATTTCATCGTTGGCACCTTGGTCGATAAGCATTGCCAAATAATTGCCAACTACACGTGCATCGTATCAGGAAAAACGATTAGGTGTGCTCGTGACACGTACGCCAGAATGAGAAGCCACCCTGCTCCCAAAGCTTCTCGAAGACGGCCTGCCTTTGCTCAAGTGTGTCGTTCTGCATCGGCCTATAAATGAAGTCGCACTGCAAGCCAGCGAACGTTGTGCGTAATTTCTCGTAGGCCGGTCCATACGTGAACTTGTATTGGTCCTGTACTTGCTTGGTGAGCTCGTGTTGTCTCATCGGAATAGCGAGG